CCCCCCCAAAATTACTCTTAAAGAACAGAAAAAACTGCCTAATAGGGTTTCCTAGCCTATAAATCTGTACACAAGCAGACTTATGGGACATATAGGTAGTACATAAATATTATGAATAATGACTGGACATTGAAAAGGAATGATTTAATGCATAATGGGCCCAAAGTCAAGTGAAAAGTAAAATACAGCTTTGAACATCTCCCTCTCTTATTTAGAAATTCTCATTGATTCCATTTTGCCTTTAGAATAAGACGTAGAACTCTTCATGGTCCGACCCTGCCGTTCTTTCCCAGCCTCCTTTACTCTACTGCTCCTTTACGCACTCGCCATTCCTAAACAATGAAATCATTCTCCTCTGTGCATTTGCACATATATCCCACCCTTTTTTCCCCACTTGGTTGGGTGCTGTTCATCCTTCCACTCCAACTGGAGAGATACCTCCGATGGAAAGAAGTCACCGAGTGTTCCCTGAGCCCAGTTAGTCACTTCATACTCCTTGATTCCAGGGCACAGACCGTCATGCTTGTATGTGGCTCTTGTATAAAAACTGCGCATGTGGTAATCAGAGGACTTTATGTCAACTTGAACATAGAGGAAAGGAATCCAACATGTCAATCAGGTCACAGCCAGATGATGCTTCTGAGGGGGTGTGAAGTTCTTATAAGCAGGGAAAACTGGGAGCTCCCCTCTCTCTTTCTCTGCCTCTGTGTCTTCTGATCTGCTGGAACTCTGCCTGCCTCCAAGGTCCCATAGAACCACATGACCCTGAGACCAGTCAGCACCCTGCCGGGTTTCCACTGACCTTGCATTCACAGGACACTGCACTCACCAGCCAGGGATCCTCCTGCTTCTCAGCTCACCATTCTGCAACACTGACATGTGGCTATGTAAGTGTGAAGAGGGACTTGTGTGCTAGCACTGGTCTTATGGACTTGATTTGGACTGGGCTAGGGTGCCTTCTTAATACATAATTACTTCTTGATATAAAACTCTTTCTTATACATAGATGAGTGTCACTGGATTTATTTCTCTGGACAACCCAGCCTAATACAGTATATATGTGTGTGTGTGTGTGTGTGTATACATATATATATAAATATATAGCCAACAACTATATCTGGTCTTCTACATACATGGATTCCTTCTCTCAGTGAGCCCAACTCTCAGTC